ATATAAAATAAATAAAAAATAATAGTTTAATGTTAATCAATATAATCCATGCACAGTTTAGTGATTTACCAAATGGCTTAAAAGCTATATTTTACTTAACAAACAATATAATCTCTAAAATATTAACTATCAATACCAATTTAATTATTTCAGTAGATATATAGATAGCATCATAGTATTACAGAAGCGGTACTCGAACTAAGAACAGTTTTTTCTCTTAACACTTTATTTCCTCAAAAGAGTGCCGCCCAATTATATAGGGTTGCTAAATACACAGCATAGTTATTAATCACAATAGACTATCTTTAAAACTAATATACAGTTCCATTGCTGTGTATATGATTATAGTAAACTTTTTACCTGTTCATACATTTTTTTCATAGCATTCAATTTCCTTTTCTTTCCTTTTCTTTCCTCCCTTTCTCTATTTATAGATTTTTCTTATATTTTTTTCTTTCTTTTTCTAACCTAATGCCTTTTTTCTAATGAAAAATACTAAAATTATACAATAATAAATATTTAAAAAAAAATGGAAATACAACACAAACGAAATAAAATTAGTATATACGTATATATAAATTACTTTATATTATATAGTAAACATGTTCGATAAATAATTGAAAAATGTTGCCCCATATACATGCCCTTTCTATGAATAATCTTTCACCCTATCCATGTTCGTGGTAGTGGACATGTTATATGTTGTTATTAGCGTTATATAAATAACACATGACTGATATCTTTCACTCCCAAAAAATTAAAATTTGGATAAGAAAATTGGTTCGATTCCATTTTTTTAAACTAATTAATCAGGGACAAATGTGGATTTTTGCTTTAATGGTTTCTCTGAAACAAACCATAGTTATCTAAATAGTACTTTGAAATTAAATTATTTAGATTATTTTAAATTATAATTTCTTCATTATTTAATCTTCGCACATTATCTAAATTATAATTATCTGATTTAAATTTTGATGTAAGTACAATGCTATAGGTATCTTTCTGTAGTAGACATTAGTAGTCAATTGTCCTAGTTCCAGTGTAGATATCCAAAGCATGCCCTTTAGCCGTTAGATTCTGGAACTGTTCCAACTTATGATATAGTGGTCTCTTGGTTTGCTTTCTATGTATCTTGGCTGTATACCCATGTTTAGATATACTTTACTGACCCCCTTCCTTTGTCGGATTGTTATTTCTCTTACATTATTTCTTGGCTATACCTTTTTGATAAAAATCAGCCGATATTTGGAAATAAGCGTATTTAAACTAAAAATAATTTAAAAACTGTAAATAAGTTCAATGAATTAGATGTCTTTATTTGTAATAGATGAGTTGTGTTTTTATAATTATAATAGATGCAATCTGTATTACATCTCCGTGAAACTGTTAGGTATAGGATGATTTAGTATAAAAATTAATACCAATTATTTGTTTACAGTTTTATTTCATGTGATATGTAATATAGAAATTGCTATTGATATTAAAAATTTAATTCTTAATAATAGGTACAATAATTTATTGTTACTTCCACCAGAACATTTTTATTTAACATTTTTTTAAAAAAAAACCTTTAATTGCTGAAAGGTACAGAAAATTTGACAAAGTGATTATTATCAATAACCCTCTGTTCCATATATGAATAATAATTGGCAAGCCCAGTGTTTGTACATTTATTCGTAAATTACTTGTTAAAACTCCTCGTAATGGTAATCATAATACCATTCTAGAAGAATAGTTGATGACTTGGGTGATTTAAATTTATTTTTGTAAATTATTTTTGATAGATCCTAATAAGAAATTAGTTTAAAGAAAAATCTTATAATAGAATAAAGTCATTTATTTGAGATATGACTGAGTTAAAATAAAACAAAAAAGAACTTGATATTTAATGATTACAGTTTAAATAATGACTTGTCTATTACATTTTTCATTTTTCTGTATCATGTCTTTATTGCCAGGTTTTATTCCTAATTAATTAAGAGTACTCACTTTATACAGACCGGGTGTACTCCAGGACGTTCTTTCCACCCTATGAACAATCCAGGACTAATGAAACAAAATAAATATTATCTGTTTATTACCAGAGACCTTGAGCTATGGATTTCAGTGCCCTGCCCACTATGCACTATGCTCTCTGATTATGTATAAATATATGTAATTAGGAAAATTAAACAAGTACAGCTTAGATTCAATTGTTTTTCGTTGTTACTTATAAAATTTTCAAAATTGTGCATTTCCTTTGTGAAAACACTAATTCCAAAACAAACTATAAATGTTGAAAAAGTAATATTAAAATTCATCTGTTTTTTTTCGTTTTATTCTTTTTTTAATGATTTTAAAAATTAGTTCCTAAAGGAAAATATAAGAATTTTACACCAATAAAATTTCGCTGACTCTAGAGACATGATTATTGGAAGTACCTTTTTTAACCACAAGGATATTGTATAATATAAAGGCACCTGGACCACACCAGATAGGGAATATGTTAACCAAATACATCACATCCTTGTCGATAAAAGGCACATATCCAGCCTTAAAAATGTGAGAACGTTTATAATTGCCAATGTGGATTCGGATGACTTTTTGTGCATTGCCCACATTGCTTCTAAGATCTCCTTCAAAAGGTTTGGAGGCCTGTCTGTAAGGCCTAAGCATTATAATCTTAGAAAGCAACTGAAACCAGATACCAAATAGTTGTACATTGATCAGGGATTAAATACTAAAAACACAGAATCTCTCTGGTCCAGCTGTGTGACCACAATGCAAGAAAATGCTGTTAATGTACTTAGACCGAGAGAAATGGAAGTGAGGTCACCATGGTTTGACGGAGAATTTGAGGCAGCCACTATTACCAAGAATAAAGCTTATGAAAATATATTGAGGAAAGGGACTCGATGAGCTTTCGAGAAATATAAAAGGAAGAGGAGAGAGAAAAAACGACTCCATCAAAGAAAGAAGAGGCAAAGAGAGAAAGAAGAACTGGAGACAAATGCAAAGTGCTGGAAGGAGAAACTATCGAAGAATTTTTCAGGAACATCAATCGATGGAGAAGACCTCAAACAAAGGTACCGAAAACTTGTAGGCACAAGGATAGGAATATGCCTGCAAGAGTGACGTCCTATTGCTATGGAAAAAATGGAAAGTTACTTGGGGAAGCTACTCAACTCAGTCCATGTGAATCAGATCCAAGAGAAGACTCAGGAAAAGGACTTCGCAAAAAGATTGCGTCAGCATGCCTCCTGTTTAACTTGGCACTTAAAAACGCAGCGATGAAGAAAAATCCAGGTTTGTAAACTGACAAGACAGTTTACAATCGGATGGTCCCGGTGTTTGCCTACACGGATGATTTGGACATCGTAGGGCGGTCGTTGCAGTTAGTCAGAGAGGGATTTTTAGTTCTATTGGAGACCACTAGCGCACTTGGGCTGGAGGTGAATGAAAGAAAAGCTAAGTATATGACCACAGGAGAAGTCCCCCGACCTGGCGAGGCTATCAATATTGACCTCTATAATTTTGAAAAGTGGCCCACTTCACATATTTTGGATCACTGGTGACTCATGATAATATACCTGAGTTTGATGTGAAGAAAAGAATGTTGATGGCCATCAGATGTTACTAGTAAGAAAATTAAACGTCTCCTAATTTTCGTAAGGAAAGTTCTTCGAAGGATTTTTGGAGGTATTCTTCTTGATGGAGGCTGGAGAAGGCTAAAGAACAACGAAATTCATTCAACTATTGATGAAGACGATATTGTCTAAAAATGAAGTTTGAGAGACTAGGATGGATGACGAAGCAATCCCTAATAAGATTCTGACGGAACCTGTCCTCGCCATTAGAAGAAGAGGAAGACCAAACCTCAGATGGTCAGATGGTGTAGCAAGAGATGCAGGAGATATTCTAGAAGACAGGAGTTGGATGACGGCCTCACAGAGCAGAGATGACCGACGGAAGCTAAGACTCGTCACCGAGTTGTAGCGCCAAGATTAATAGAAAAAAAAGTATTTAAACCAATATTTTTTTGTTTTAATGTTTTGGAACCTTATATAACAGATGCTTCTTAATTTATGTTTATTTTAGATGATTAGATTGATTAAATATAAACTTTTGTTCTGGAAAATGTCTGTTTTATTCACCTAAACCACCTTTTAACTAATCTATAATTTCTAAAATGACTTATATTTTAAAAAAATTACTCACTTCCTACTATATTTTAATGAAAAAAATTATTTTGATCTTCGTCCGTTGATGCAATCACTATATACCATAAATCGTGGATTAAAGGTAAATTAATCCAAACTTTCCCGTTAGAGAATCATTTTAAATGAAATTACTTAAAAGTTGTGATTTCGCTCGCTTGGGTGTAAGAAGCAACCTTCCACAAGGCTTGCAAATTAATCTGCAGAGATATAACAAACATCTCCATTGCCTTGACGTAACAAAGGCCCGGCGTGTGTTTAGCAGTGTCTTTGATCTTAGCATGCTTGTTTCCGCGGTGGTTTCCTCTTGATTACATGCTATTCGTAGTATTCTCCTCAGCTCCTGTATGTCTTGCTTTGTATGCAAGATCATAGGATGTATGTGCATTAATATATAGCACAAAAACATTGTCGAGTTCCATCATCTCATGATTTAGCATGTTCACCATAGATGTTAATCTGAAATTCGACATCTACGTTTAAATATGAACTAGTTTACTCTAGTGAGAACTCTCATCTTAAATTACTATTATTCTCCTTGATACATTCGACACATATGTATAATAGTTAAGTAATAAGACTTAGTTATCCCATTACTTACCCTAATCCATTACTGTATTGGCTTATGAAATATTTGTTTGATGTAGAAGAGCCTTGATTATTGGTTCTCTCACTTACTGAGTATATAGAAGCCTGAAATTTTTGGTTTATTATTTTCAATAATTTTGTTAACGGACCCAGAATATAATTGAGTTTTCTATTATATTCTAGTGACCCACTAATCTTACATAATAATAATAAGGCTTAGCGAACGCGAATGTTCGATGCCGATACCACCAATCGATGTCCACATTCCTCCATCCATCCGGCTCCGTCTAAACCCAACCCCGCTAAATCAGCCTTAACGCAATCTACCCACCTTCGCTTTGGTCTACCCCTCGGACGCTTGCCAGTCGGTACAGCGAATATTAATTTTTTTAGGAATTCTTTCGTTACTAAGCCCACCGATTTTATTGCACATTTTATTCGCCTCAACTTAATCACCTCAATTGTATTAACACGAATACAGTTCACGCAATTCAGCGTTGTGTAACCGCCTAAATTCTCCGGTTGACTCGTCCTTTTTCGGCCCGAATATTCTGCGCAATAGATAGATAGATAGATAGAACAAAAAACTTTATTCTGGGACTAAGTCCTTTCAGAATAACAATGATGTACAAAATAATAGAATATTACTGGCCTAAACGTTTAAAACAATAAATAAAATTGATAAAATAAAATAAAAAGTAAAGAAAACCTTAGGTGCACAAGCTATATACAATACAGATAAGACTATGTACAGAGCATTTAAAATACCTTGCCTTTTTTAGGCTATACGGGATTTTCCCGGGCCGGGGGGTGAGCCGGGGGAATTTAAAATTCCCTCCGGCACCGGGACGCGAACTCGTACTTTTTATATCATCTCAAATCTCTGTTATCCGGTTGCCAGGCAACTAGCGGTGTTGTGCACACGCCCAGAGCATTTAAAATTATGAACAAAACAATTAAAACTATGAACGAATCACTTGAACTATGAACAAAATTATATATAAGGGTTGAACAACATAAACTTACCCTTTGAGAAATGAAGAACGAAAAAGAGATACAATGAGTTCATTTCATAAAATAAAATAAAATAAAAAAACTTTACTTGAATATATATATAAAAATAAACAGTTAATTATAATTGAATAAAAAAAAATGTATGTATTGAAATTCCTATGTCGATAGTAGGAAATGCATGTACTATCGCAATACTTTATTTTCAAAAAACTTTAACTTGATCTTACATACAAAATTGAATAGCTGTAACTTCGTTAGTAGTTGTCCGAAATATTTTTATATGGTTTTACAGAGAATTTCACTACCTTTCCAAAAAAAGGCTAAACAGTGCTTATTCTTTATTCGTTTTTTACCTGAATTTACTGGAATATTGTAATGTACGAATATTGCCAGGATATTAATTAGAAAATTATAAGAAAGTTTCATCAAAATCGTTAGAGCCGTTTTTGCGCTACAATCTCTAGAAAAATATGTTTTTTACTTATTGCACAAGAAGCACCCGACTTGTGTCACAGGCATCAGTAGTGAAAACTCTACAAAATAAAAAAAGAAGCAACAAAATCGGTCAACTAGTTCCGGAGAAAATCTTGGCACAGACAGACCAACTGCTCAGGGGCTCTGGTACGTATAGATCCTTCGAAAACGGAAGGAAGGAAAGTAAAAACAAAATGTCTGTCCAGCGTTAGCGCACTTTTTCCGAGACTAGAACACCTTATAATTAATTATATTTATAATTGTGAAATTCAAATTATAATTGAGTAGATTTGTTAGTTTTGTTTGTATTATGTACTTTATTATACGATTAATACATGAAATCGTATTTATTTCTTTATAATTTGTTTAGAAATATTATCCACATCCAGGTTGATTATAAGGTATATCGAAAAACAAACTTTTTTACATAAAATTTAGAAGTTGTAAACGTTAAAGATTCTGGTAAAATGAGAATTTATGCATTTTTAATCGAACTTTCATTTTTCCCACCCTCTCTTTTTTTATAAAGAAAATTTGCTTTTTTCCTCCCATTTTTGTCCGTTTTGTGGTGGTCCAGAATCTGCTGAGCATATCATCACAATTTGTACCACTTTTAAAGCAACAAGGGTCAAACTATTGAGGGAAACCAGACTCCACATTATCACGGATGACGATTTCCCTCTGCTAATAAGCAAGGATAACTACGCGCACTATGAAGCATTGGTGTACATGCCGAAGGAATTATTGGGGATTGATCAACCTTTTCAACATTTCAACCTCCACTATTGAAGAAGACTGAAGAACCAGAGAATAAGTGGTAGAAGTATCTATTTCTTCTATTAATAATCTGGATTGCCAATAGGCAAGGGAAGAAGGAAATATATATATATATATATATATATATATATATATATATATATATATATATATATATATATATATATATAAACTAGAGGAAAATAATGTTAAAATTTCTTACCTAGTCTAATTTTAAATTAATTACAAAAAATATTAATTTGATCTACTTCCATTTCTACTAAATGAACAAAATACAGGATACCTATTTATTGCAGCTACTACTTGGCAAATTTCATGTTTGTTAAATTCTAAATTGAATAAATTAATCGATAAATGAAATTAGTCAATAAATGATAACTATTGAATTTCTGATTATTAAAAATTGGAAAAAATAACCAAACTTACAATAATGCTTGAGAGATGAATTATCTGGAAGTGATGTCTTAGAGTAAAATATTTCACAAAAATGTTTACAGTATACATATATACAGTGTTTTATAAAATAATTTTTAATTAATTTGATTTTGTTTGGCCATTTATTGCAAATGAAGTATTTTGCTAATCAATATCATTTGGAACCATCAACTGGGTCCTTGAATTTCATCATTAATTTTTTTAAAAAGAAATTAAGCTGCTAAGTGGCAGATAAATATTAGCTTTTCTCATTAATAACGAACCATTAAATTATCTTTTCCCGGAACTCATAATGATTCCAGGTAATTGATTTTAATCTTACCTTGATTAGACTTCAAATGTGAATGATTATTATTATCACTTAGTATATAACAATTTATTAATCATTATTTGTAAGCATTGTATTGTGAAGCAGGTGTCTAGGAAAATATTTGAATATTATTAGATAATTAACCAAAGAGATCTAGAACATCCTCTACCTAGATTCTTGCAATTAATAAGTAAAGTTAGTATGCCCTATTTTTCAGTACTCTCTTCTTCTAACTCTTTTTAATCAACTGGCTCAGGTTATATTTATTTATAAACTTGTTGATTTTCTTATGAAGCAGTTTATTCGGTTACTTTGGTATACAACATTATGATTAGTACATTTGTAACAATTAATTAATGCAGGTTATAGAAGGTCAACCTGGGGCCTATTTCATTATCGAGCTAATAGTATTAGTAAAAAGTACAAATGTACAAAACTGCAAGGTACAAGTACTAATATTTTTTATTTTATGGATTGATAAGAGAAAAGTACTAGTCAATAAGTGGTTCGGTTATTTTTAGAGAGGTTAATTTTGAGAAAATTAATTTAAAAACAGGATTAATCCATTTAAAAAGTTTGTGTTCTCTACTAGTGTTTAGAAGAAAGAAAAATCTACCTGAATTGTTAGTCATCAGGAGATATACTTACTAATAAATAGCGATACTTAATAATTTCAAATTAATTTATTTTAATGTTGGATTTAATAATTAATATTACATATACGTGGATTATGGTTTTTAAAATATTTAATATCTTTTTGATAGATATTTAATATAGATAGATAGATAGAACATTAACTACTTATGAATAACAATTATGAACCAAAAAATAAAAACCATATCTGCCCAAAAATTACATTAATCAACATTAATAAATATATACACTATCTTCAGTGAATTATATTAAAAAAAATAAAAAGTAACACCATTTAAAAAAAAAAACATTATTTAAATGAAAATAAAAACAGAAATAAGATAAAATAACAAAAAAATAATATAAGCATGGGTTGATTTTTAAAATTAAAACTCGAAAAATTTCAACAACCATTCACCTAAGCCAAAATTTGTTTCACAATATTTATTTCATTGCATTTTGAATTCATTATTATATTTTGAATACACTACTTTTTTCTTTCTTTTTTTTTATTAAAATTTATTATTATGCTCATAATTTTATTTTTATATTAAATAAAAATAATATTTGTTTTAAAATGGCCAAAACGATTAGGCTAAAACGTTACAATTTAGTAATCTGTTTTTTTTATTTTCTTAATATTACTAATAGTGTGAATGTGATCTCTGAACCCTATTTCAAATGTGCTTTGAGACTGATTTTAATATTTTAAATAAATAATAAAAATAATAAATAAAAAATATATTATTAATGATTCATTTCTTTTAAATCAACGAGTTATTAGTTATTTTAAAAATATGTTAGTTCATGTCAGATACCAGCAGAGTGCTCTGACCTGCTCTACTACTTCTAGTAGTTCAGTGTTTTCCCGATAGATGCCGCGAGCTGGATTTTTTCTCGATCAAGCTTAATACATTATTATTATGTTTTTCTAGATTTGTTACTCTAAAATAAGTGGTATTTTATTCATTTATTTTTTTCATTTATGAATTTAATAATTTCTACTAACTATTCCTTACATGTCTCTTTCCAGAAACAAAAATATATAAATAAAATATTATGTAGTGATACCGTAAGTTAATTTTTACTTTTTTTACTTGTGTTTAAATTCCCGTATTAAAAAAAAAACAAGACTTATGACATTAAGTTTAGAGAATGAAATTACTGCATACTGAGAGTTACTGCATGATTTACATACTAGCTCTAGACCAGACCTCTTTGAAAAACTCCTTTCAGTCATGGGCTATGTGTATGAAACTTATGGTGCACGTGAATAAATAAATTATAGATTAAAAAATAAATATAAAAGAAAAGAAGAGGTTTTAATACAGTTTGTGAATATTACTTTATCATAAATTCATTGTTATCAGATATGTTAAAGAAACAAAAAAAATCCAATTTTTAGTTAGGTCTGCATTCTATTTCTATTCTATTCTACTTCCCTAAAGTGGAGGGGGGGAGGGAGGAGGTTTACGAAAAGTGGACTTCCCTCAGCACACGGAGATCTTGTCACTCCATCGGTCATTATTTACTTTCGGGCATACTCTGCTTCTTGCTGAATTTCATCTGCAGTGCGATCGATATTGTGTTAAGTCTCCTTACGGTCGGCCACATACTCCATGAGTACATAACTCATCAGCGCTTTTGTTTAAAAAAATAAAATATATATATTTTCTCTTGGCTGTAGATCTCTTGGTATTTTAATTAGTCTTCCCCATCTCTATCTGGAGTTATTGCTTTATCCACTTACCTGTATGCAGCTCTGCAGTATATTTGTTGATCCAATCTGTCCATCTGGTTTCTGCTCTTCCATATGGTCTTTGAATAAAATACATGTATATTGAAATATATATATTTCTCAAACTATTTAATATTCACACTTCATGCTAGCACATGCCGTGCAGACCAATAAATACTCGATATTCTTTACACTTCCATTTCTCCTGTTTGCAAAGCCGTCCGTACAAATGTGCTGCTTAGATAATAAGCTCTTGTTCGATAATTTCATGCAGATGAGCTGCCAGGCTGTCGTGACTTGGTAAAGGGCAACAGTAATATCCCTTGGAAGGTGAGGTTTCTCCAGTTTTGCCAGAGTAATATGTCAATCTGTTATATATCATCTTAAACTTGAGTTGATAAGGGTCTTCGTAGATGTGAAATATGAATGAGAGGCTCCTATATTATTTCTTAATCTAAAGTTATAAAAATTGTACTAAAAAAAAAAAAAAAAAAAATTACTTTTTGCTTGAAATAATGGTGCATTAAAAATAAGATGTTTTTAATTTTCATATGAATAAAACGGTTAAAAAAGTTTGTAATGATTTTTTAAAGAATAATTTAAAAATAGAAGTTTCATTATATCCCTTTGAAAGGCGGTCGGTTTCGGAAATAAACTTATTTTCACACCACGTGTATTTATATTTAGGTTTGTTTTTGGAAAATAATATAAATATTGTTCCATTGGTTTTTATATGAGAATCAATACTTATCTCATTTTTCGTATAAATCGAGTAGGGTTCACTTTGGGCATGAGTGCCTCATTTATATTTTTAACGATTGGTCGTTGAGCTGAAGTTTTCTTAGAAATGTTTTTGTAGAAATGATCTTGTTCTGAGATGCTTCAATGTTCATTTGAGCTTTCACAGAATCAACTCCAATACAAATAGATCAATAAAAAAAATAAGAAATAGAAATGAATTATATTTGAATTTAAAA